GCCGACGCACTCGCGAGAAACGCGCTTCGAACTTGACGATCCGTCACGTCGCGACGCGCTGCACGATTGACTGTGATTTGAAGCGTATCGAAAGCGCGATACTCGAAGTATCGAAACGGTCGAAGCGGGCGAGCCAATCGTAGAGCTCGGCTGATACGATTTGCACTTCACGAAGTTTCACGAAGGAAACGTGTTGCCATTGGTAGCCCTGAGGAATGCATTGAGAGATGCCACCCTGTACACTACCGCCAGTACCGTCCATGTTCGAAATTGGTACTACGTAGCCACGTTCGTTTTCCGACACTGCCGATAAAGCATCATTTTGGTGCGCGTCCGTGCTACATCTGCAAATGATATATGTATACATATACATTGCAGTGTCGGAAAGAGAAAAAGTGAGAGAGAGAGAGAGGGCTATTAGATATTTAACACATAATATAAATATATAAAATAAGTTAATATTTATCGATACATATGTAAGATTTATATTCTCGATTGTAATTGCAATTATGCAAAAAGCAAATAAATATTAACTTATTTTATATATTTATATTATATGTTAAATATCTAATAGCCCTCTCTTTCTTTTTCTCTTCTTGCACTTTTCACACTTCCCAGACAGCACAATGTTCAAAATCGGGACATAAGTCGTCTTTTAGCCATCTTTTTTGCAAGATATCTAAAAGATGTCTTTTTTAAACGTCTTACGTCCCGCTTTTAGACATACTGTGCTGTCTGGGTTATTTCAAATAAAAGATGTATCTCATATCAATTTAAAAATCCGAATTCGAGACAATAGGCCTTTATGGAAAATTTTGTAAGCAAAACGAATAATATTTGGGGAACAATTGAGCAACAGAGAATGTTTTATAATTTTTAAGTATCGAGGTTTATCATCGTCTTTTATGGTATGCGTGATCACCGCGCAGCAAGAACGATCGCGACGAAATTTTTACAATCGATACAATTTAATTTTCTATAAAGTAGAGGTTAGGAAAAATAAAGAAGCACATACAAATAAATTTGAAACAACGGAATTGTATTCGTGGATGCACATTTCAGCTGTTCGCACTCTCGATATTCATACGCATTTCGAAGCAAGCTCGCTCCCTCTTTCGCGACAAGCAAAGTGCGAAACTACGTCAAACGCGCGCGATCGTTCTCTTCAATCACTAATTAATTAATTATTAATTCCCGCACTTAACCAGAAGGATCAAGCTATTCATTAAAGCGTTTTCCCGCGCGACTCACTCATACGAAAAAATTAAAACGGAGCAGGAGACGTGAATTCCGAGGTTATCGTTTCACTGCGACCCGCGGAACAACGATTCCATTAAGATTCGGATGTATCGCGCTCCGAATCATTTAATTCTCACATAGGTACATATAATTCACTCACGGCGCACTGCAGGAGACCTGCCAAATCACAGCCGGCAGGGTGATGATATGTACAGCGTCCAGCACATACGGCATTCGACGTTCATTTCGTCCAGCGACGGCATCTCACTCGTTTCAGTCGACACGAAGAAGGAACGGATTATTCGGCGTACGTTCAGCTTGCAATACCCCGCAACCGAATTTCTTTTCATTCACGAGAAAGGAATTACACGACCGACAACGTCTCGCGATCCGACGTTGAACGCGTCACGTATTTACTGTTTACTTGCGCGAGCCGTTGCGCCGCACAGTCGGGCGAGCGAAAGCCGCGAGGTCGAACGCGATTGGCTCGTGAGTCGAACCCTCAGATCTGGCCAATCACGTTCCGCCGCTCCGCGCCGCCTGCAATCGCGCGCGTGTGTTGAAACTTGAAACCCCTAATTCCATATTTCTCACATCTCAAGTAAAGTGATCGTGTCACTTTGAGGTATCCCGTTCAGATATCCTACTGGATTAACCAACAAATCAGGCCCCTTATAAATCGTGTCGTGGTTTTTATTAAAGCTTTGTATATTAGATTATAACACGGTTAAGTAAGAAAACGGATAGGTAGGTCTATAGATTGGAATACGGGTAGGGGATTCGGATAGGCAGGGACAAGGGGATATAATTCGATAAAAAAAATTGTAGACGAAATAAAAGTAATATCCTTAATATAATAATAAATGTAATTATATTTATTATTATATTTTGAATAATAACAACTCAGATGTATATTAAATAAATACTAATTTTTATATATTAAATAATTTTTATATTAAAAAATATTTAATATATTTAAAATTAGTATTTTATATGTATATTGGGATCGGTAATAAAGTAGAGTATTCGTAACCAATAAATGTATATATTGAATAGAATATAAACGTGTGTCACCGCTCGACTTCTGTGAGCAACCTGACTCTCGGAGCACGCTCCCGTGACGACGCGACGTGTCGTACAGTAGCGTATTCTCTCGTTAAGAGCCCGGATATATTACATTATTAATTTTATATTGTGCTATTCTATTATATTGTTTACTTACTTTAATCATTTATTTTAAACACGTATTCAGAAGCTTGATTAAAAGATTATGGTAAACTTATTAAGATTACCATATTATATATACGAGTATAGTCGTGTAAATTAATTCGGATAATTCTAAATAGTAATTTGGGTTTCTTTATGACGTGATAAGCTTTACAGCGTGTTAAAAATGTAACGAAAAGAACATAATATTTTCATTAAAATACATTTATTTAAAAGCGTGGTACATATACATAGATTTATAATATATCGAAATGAAACATTTTATTTCTTACGTAGAAAATCGTATATAAAAGTTCGACTACCGAGCGGACGAAGTTTAAGAAGAAATGTACCTTTATAAAAAATTATGCGTGCATGATACAATAGTAATTAAGTGTAATAAATAGAACATGAAAACTCAATCAATCGACTCGTTGCTTCAAGGTAACGTAGCAGAAATTGGTAACACAGTCATATCTGTAACATTTACTACCCGAAAACTCTACATACCAGGAAACATTTCAAATGGTAGTGTATATGTTTGTAGTCCTTGAATCTTTCGTCTTTGACACTTATTCGAGCGTTCTCCCGTAGGTAGGATAGAATTTATTTCGATCAGGGGTGTGCTTTGAAGCATCGGTAGAAGTTGTGTCATTTATCTTTTTGAGCCCGAAGAAATCCTCCACAAATGTTGGATAAAGAATTCCCTCGCCCTTGACCCAATCCTTCTTCCAATACCTCGGATAATTATATAAATAGTTCAAATTATAATTTGGGTTCAAATTATAATTATACGGTCTGTCATTTGTGTCACATGGCGCACCGACAATCTCATTGGTTGCCGATGATTCTTCGTTACTTCTGTATGGATTTTGCACATAGGTAACGAAAGGTGGTTGAAATTGTACAGAAGTAGGTGTTGCCGCCGTATCGGCGTATTGGGAAGCTTTCGGTGTCACTTCAGAGTAAAAAGGAATTTGTAATATCTTGTCCTGGCTTGGCTCTGCCGTGTCGATCATGTTCATATTTGTGATTTCCTGTAAAATACATACAATGCGTTTTATTAAAATAAAATTTTCTAAAAATATTATATAAGATATTTTGTATCATAGACCATACGAATATTTATATATTTTACATTGCAGAAAAGAATATTTTTTAAACTTTCTGAAACGCATTCATAATGTTCGACAATAAATGTTCCATTTTCCAATATTAAAAAGTTGTGCACATAATGCATTTCATTAATCAGATTTAAATTGAGAAATTTAATTAAATTTTTAAATTTTAATTGAAAAATATTTGAGCAAGAAATCCATATCGTTTCGGTCGTAATAATCCATTAAATTTCAATAGATCGGACAAAAATGAAATTTTTTAAACGAATTATATATTAAAGCTAGAATCTTTACCTGCAAAGATATCTTTTCGGGTTCGTGGTGGCCTCCAAACCATTTTGCCGTTTCTTTCACAGTGTCTGATGCACTGTCTGATCCATTGTCTCGGTATTTACTACCATAATCGTTATCGTGCGATTTCGGCGAACTCGAAGATTGCGCGAATCTCATCAAAGGTCTATTGTAAACGATGCGTGAATCGTCGCTACATGCCTCGCCTTGCGCGACGTTCGGAGATTGCGTATGACGATTTGTATCATACTGGTTAATCATATCTTTCCATGTGTTGGGAATGTCGTATGCATGTTCAGGGTGCGTGTCTTCTGTATAAAAACCGAATAAACGTGGATTTGTTATGTAGTCATTCTTGATCTGACGATTCTCCACACGCTTATCTGTAATTGAACAGTTTACATTTAAGCGAATTCGTACTAATATATCGGTACATTGATTTTTTTTACGTTTGCGTCTCATTGGAACTCGTATAAGCTGAAGTTACACGACTTTCAAGATAAGCGGTCGCGGTGCATTAGGTTATTATTTGAAGATGTCAAATTTTAATCTTGTTCTATGAAATATTTACCAGTAGTATCAGTAGGCTCATGTTCTGGAAGTAACGAGTCGACGGTTGTAGGATCCTTGGCGTCAGTTAAGGGCGACTTCGCGGCCACATCATTGTCATATGCAACGACCTCAGATTTACTGGATTCGGTGCTTGTAGGATCCGATCTGCGTGATCTTTTCCTTCGGTTGTGTACTGCCTAGAGAAATATCGGTTTTAGGAAAATCTCAATAAGTTATAGGATATATTTATATACAAAAACACGATAAATATCAGCGTTTGTGTTATAATTAACTTCAAGAAAAGCTGTTTGTCAATAATAAAGTGACGTACATATTTATCCCATAAGACAAATTTCTAGGTGTTACATATATATGTATAGATATTTCAAATTCAAATTAAATATTACATTTAAAATATAAAATTAAATAAAATTTAAATTTTTAATTAAATGATGGTAATATAAATAAAATATTGCGAAAGTTAATGAAATATTATTTATACCATTAATTTCTCAGGTCAAGTAATAGGATAATGAGCATTTACCAAAGATTGAGGATGGCCGACATACACCGAGGGCCGTACATATCCATGACCTCCTATTCTTGCGAAATGCACATGGTGTGGCCTCGGTAAATAATGGTGGTATGGTAGACGATGTGGATAGCTTAACACATGTGAACGAGCATCGGCTTGGTTCCATTGATAGGGATACACCGGCGTCTGAACTCCCGATTCCTGGTTCGGTAATTGTTCCGTGCGATATTGTTCAGGAGATCGTATCGAGTGCTGCGAAACAGTCGACTGATGTTGCAAATAGCGTGGATTGCTATAGTATTGATGTTCGTAGCTGGGTTGAACAAGGACGTCAGCAAGTGCGATACTTGCCAACGAGATTATTGTCACTGCTAAGAACTGAAAAAGAATGATTAAAAAAACTTTATGCAGATTGTTCTTGAACAGATATTTGATATGGCAGAAATTTGTTTCCTAAATTATTTATTTAACAATTTAAAATTATTAAGAGAAAGATTACATATTTATAAATTTACTATGGAATATTATTTTATTGTTATAAAAATCGAATTAGAGAGAAAGTAAAATGCAGAAAAAAATAAATGTTTTATTACGTATTGATTTTTACAAAATTTTTGTCTAACGCTGATGACATGTGGGTTTATTAAAAAAGTTCTCTTTCCAGAAGTTAAAAACTCATAAAAATATTAAATAAATTTAAAGCATATGTCAGAAAGGTTTACTCACTAATCCTCGATGCGAAAACATCGTGTTGCTCTTGCAGTTTCACTTGATGTGACTAACGCGATTCCTCGGTGTCACTATAAGTAACCCGAAAACTCGCTGACGTTATGTTGAATTTGCGCATTCCATAATTTCGTCAGTTTGTGCATTCGCAATGTGCGTTTCCGCATTGTGAAATCGTCTCGAGGCAAAAATTCAGATGTCATTAAATTTTTTAAAAAGTATGTCGTTCATGTCACGCATTGACAAACGTTGATGCAAATTGCTGATTGACTAAAAAAATATTCTAAATTTTTTAAAATGTTATTCAGTTTATAATTCAAGAATTTTCCAATCTTATAAAATAAATAATTCGCTAAATATGTACCTATATTAATTGGCAGTATGTGAAGTGATAATGTGCTATGTATATATAGGTAACGAAAGGTGGTTGAATGTGTCGCTCTGCGGTATTTTCCGCCCTTTTTGTACTCGAAATGGCCAGAACCCCCCGCGCGAGAGATTCTCACCACTTCCTACGCGTCTTAAGGGGGGAGGTTTTCTAGAAGTTTCTAGAAACGTAGTTTTTTTTTGGGCCCCATCTGGGCCTCAGCCTATCAACAGCCGTCCGATAACCGTAGGATAAACCGCTCGGAATTCTGAGATAGCGTGCGTCGTCTAAGAGCCGATTTCACCAGTCTCCGATTAATGTGATTCTCCGTTAAACTCACTCTGCATCTCTTTCTAACTGATGTCCCCCTAGAAAGAGACGAAGAGTGAGTTTAATCGGAGGATCAAGTTAATATCGGAGACTGTAAAATCGGTCCTAAACCGTTAAAAAATTCCAACGTGCGTCGTCCGAAATTTTAGGATAGAGGATTTACGTAGGAAATTTCCATACGTAACAGCGTTAATGCAACGCTCGATATTCGCGAATCCGTCACCGCTGGTTCGTCTTCAGGTGTAATTGTATTTAATTAGAATTTTAATTAAGACGGTCACTTCGGAGAAGCAACTCGTGTATCATTTTTTCAATCTTCAAATCAATTTAATTACAACGTGGACGGGTAATCAAACAAATAAATCCAAGTAGTACATATTTAAATGTTGAAAAGAAGATTCTCAACGTTGGACGTTTTAATTTAAATACATAAATATTTTAATTAAAAAAATTATATAATTAGTTATATAATTAGTTGAAAATAAAGTCATGTTAACAACTTTTTTTTCTTAGTGCATTTAATCGCAATGGCATTCGGTACAAGCACAGGACGGTCTTTAAAAATATTGCGTATAGCTTTTCCTCGATACTAATACCAGATTAAATAAAATTAAATTATGCATTATCAGATAAAATCGCGCAATTTGCAGATGTAGCATGGACGCGCACCAAAATGATGCTTTATCGGCAATGTCGGAAAATGAGCTCGGCTACGTAGTACCAATTTCGAAGGTAGATGTATGTACTGATGCTAGTGTATGTACATACTGTATGTAACATATGTACATACATACAGGTGATACAGGGTCTTTCGACGGTCCCATGAAAAAAACCGGGATGGCCAGGAATATCAGCCAGGGCCAGGAATGGCCAGAATGCTTCTTTCTGGCATTGTGTACAAAATCGCGTATTCCTAACCTCATTTTTTAAATAGACGAAAAAACGTTATATTGACAATCGATTGATACGAGTGAGGCGAATAATAAAAAACAGTACGTATTTCCTTTTCTTTTTCTAATAATTAATCAATTAATTAAGTTGATTCAATTAAACGTTATTTTTGGAACGAAAAGTTACCTAACCTATACGTTTCTACAGTTATTCGAATAACTTTTTAACATTTTGATGTATTATTATGCATTGATATAGCATATATTATTTATATAAATTCTATATATATGTATATAAAATTTAAAATTTGTTTAAATTCTAACTATACAAAATTAAATGTATTAAAGTTATTATATCAAGAATGTTGTACTATTAACTATTATATAATTATATTTTTATAAATTATTATATATTTAAAATTATTACTATACATTTGCAACGTTCTACAGAATTACTGCTATAATATAAAATCTATAATAACATAAGTATTACATAATGTTCTTCGGTTATCTTACATAACTTATTATTTATCTTATATAAACTTTTTACAGCGACATGTCAAATCTAACTTTGCACACGCCAATGGCAGAATCTGAAAATGCAAGTGCATTGGAGTGGACGCGTCCTGATCAAGTGATGCAACTACATCGTATGAAATTAAAGAAACGTGCGCTTCAAGCGCGTATAAACAAAACGACCATCAACGCTGGTGATCGACAAACGGCTACGAATTTAGACGCGCTTAACTCCAGTGTTAATGTACCACAACGTGTATCTGACCAGAAGCGTAAGAACCCTTTCGCGATCAATGAAACGTGTAAGAAGCAGAAGGATTTAACGTCAACCGGATTAGAAATCAGTAACGACAACACATTGTTTGAATTACTACACATCGACGTTCAACAGGAGAAGCCAACGACAGATTCATCCACAAAGGATTCCTTGACTTTTGCTAACGTTCTTTCAAAACTAGAATTGACTAATCAGACTTCAGACACAAGTGCTCCAAAGGGTGCAAAGCATATTCCTATAGATTGGACATTGAAAACTAAAATGAGGTTTATGTCTCCGAAGCCTTTTCCATGGAATGGCAAGCTCAAAACGAGCGAAGAGGCATCAGGTACCACAGGATTTGTGAGATGTTTAGATATCGGAGAGAAAGAGACAACTTTGGACACCAGTTTAAATGCAAGGTTGGTTTTATTAGTCCTTGCCTATGTGTCTATTTGTTTTTCTAAGTCTTATAATAATGTCTTGTTATATTCTGATTAGATTCCATCAATGTTGCTTGATATGGCAACATCCATCTTTACCATGGTTAGAGTTATTCCCTCGCTCTGCTGGTAAAGTGAGTGCATCTCTCGCAAATAACGCATCGATAGTGAACAATCAAAATATGAAAGATGCATTGTATCGAGAATGGTGCGATAGCTTCAGATCCCTATTTCATTTATTGCGAGCAAGGCAATGTCCATACTTTTACGTATGCGCGAACACATTTACAGTGCTTTTTCGTGCCGCTGGAATCTGCGGATTGTCGGAGATTCATGCTCTTATTACACCTACAACACGTGGATTTCGTCAGTCATTAAAACAAGAAGGTAGAGAATTCTATTTACTTATTTTATTTAGTTATTTATCAATAAAATGAATCTTTGATGACAGTACTGGTAAAGCTATAGGTATTCGACATGATATGAATAATGAAATATTAGTCATGTGATAAAAAATAATCTTACGATTAGTAAAATATAACTACACATTGTGGGATAAAAGTAGAAACAGATTTTAAAATATTAAATTTTATTTTGTTTAAAAATTAATTGTGTCTTTCAACATATTTCAGAAATAGAATTCTCTATGCCTTTAAGGAAGGATTACAAAAGACGATCCGACCCGACAGATCCCGATTCTAAAACTGCAGATGTGTCTACCGTGGATTGTCAGCAAGAGAGTGAAAATTACGAAGAAGAAGAAGATGATGACGAAACTCAAGACGCATGGCTCGAGAGTCTTGGAGTAGAAAATTCAGAAATTAAGAAAATTAATCACTCACAGGTATGCATAAATATTGCGCATTCTCAATTTGCCCTGATGTTGCGATTTTATTTTAGGCAAGGATGACTTTGGAGAAAGAAAGCGAGGTAGATAACTTGAGACAATCCCTTGTGTTCGTAAGAGGTGTGGAGACGCAGGCGTTGTTTAACTTCCTAATTAATTGCAAGTCGGCTATCGCAATGACCGGTGCGTTAGCCGGTGTTCCTCCTACGCTTTTGGCTCCGACGGCCTTCCACGGTGCTACGTTAAAACCGCTCAAGGTATCGCATAATTGACGGAACAGTTCGTTTTTATTTTAGAGAATTTTGGTCCCATATCTGTTACTTTCTTTTTTTACTTTTTTTTATAAAGGTTCGAGAAAGCGTAGTGCGCGATAATAACGACAGATACTATTCCCTCGAATTGAGAGGACCCCTTTTGCCGCATGTGTTGCCTTCTCTCTGTCACTTGATGAAATCCAGTCAATTGGAGCAGTACTCGGCAAGCTGCGCGCAGTTGGCCTCGACAACTTCGTTTTCCACGGCGAGGCACGGTACGGGCACGCGAATACACGTGTTTGCGCGCATGTTAATCGACGCGGAATCTTACAAACTAAATTGCGAAAATAATATTTATATTCCTACAGGCCACGCGATTGTCACGAGAGAAGAAGATCTCGATACCACGAAGGACTCCCTACCGCCTAACGTTTTCGGGCAAGAAAATTTGAGCGATTGCGGATTTAACGAAGAATTATTGAGCCATTTTTGCAGTCCCGACCCGGCCAGGATAGAAATTTTGGATAGCCTGAAATTTTTTAACGGACTATATACATGGTCGTGATCTCGCGATCATATAATTTAGAAATAAATATAGCACAGATTTAAGTACAGGACCTTTGTAAAGATTAATTTAAAAAAGGCAACTGACTTTAGCCTAAGCGTTAGGACAATGTTACGTCGCTGGCGACACGTATACTTAACGTCCGATAACGAAATATCGTTATGCTTGTGAAGACATAGGGATCTAATGTCATCTAAAATGTAAGTATATATCTAATGTGATGACGAATGTTTAATGTAACTACATGATTTGTATACACAAATTGTAAGATTTCTATTTTTATTGACGTGTAATTTAACGTGTGTAATTTAACATGTAATTTTAAATTGCGAGATTGTACATATCACGTGTGAGAAGACAAGGAACATTATCGATATCAGATAAAGACGTTTTCATTTAAACCGACGTAATATTATAATCGCCCTAACGATAACTCTGTAGATTATAATAATCGATATTTTACGTTTTATCGCGTTATATGGACTTTTCTTTAATGTTGATACATTTATGGAAAAATCAAATATTGTTTTTCATTATGTTATACATATATCGTATATACGTACACGTTTAATGCGAAAAGGGAAGAAAGAACGAGATTACGATTATAACGAACTAATTTAACGCGGTTGTTTTTTTATGCAGGAAGGGCGATCGCATTGTCATCATTAATTTAAAAGCCTTCCCAGAAGGAGTCACGCGCGACGGTAACACCATCGTTAAGAAGGGCCGTTCGAGAACCCCGGGAACGACGTAGGTGGGGTCCGCACAGCGGATGGATTGCCCCTAAAAATAACGAATCGATATTCGCCCGCTGCCCCCAAATCAGTTGCCGGACTCGCCGGACTCGCCTGGGTCAGCGAGAGAGACAGAGAGGGAAAGAAAGAAAAGAGGAAGAGGAACAGCGTGTGTGTGTCCACAATACGGAAAATCAATTGGTTTATTACATCGAGACGCATTTCTTTCTCTCTCTCTCTCTCTTCCGAATCACATATGATCCGCCCGGCGCAATTACGATTGACACAGCACGCGTCATAAATATTAGAATAGTTCGGCCGAGAAAACTCGTCGTAGGAACATCGCCCCGTCGGATGCGTTTGCCGCGAGGCGCGGCGGGCACGGCTGCGAATTAACACGCGCCATGCCGGGGGCTTACGTCAGGGCTCGTCGCCGTATTGCGACACCGCGCCGAGGCGGAGGCGGTTTCGCGTTGCAAGGTCTTCCTGGCGCGGCTCGAATTTTTCGTCCGAGCGCGCCGTTTTCCAGCTCGCTGCTGCCGCCGCTCGTTTCCACGAGCGAATTTTAATTCCCGCCGTCCCCCGCCCCGTCCCGTCTCTCTCCCTCCTTTCTGTGCGAGCGAATTCCTGGCGAGCGACGGGTATCTTATCGCTCGTGCGATACAAACGGAATTCGAAGACGCTAATGGGAGTACGGGCCCGAGTTCGATACTTCGGCTCGTGCTCCGAGGGGGAACGTTCGTTTTAACCGAATGAGATTAAAAACGTCGTGTTTACGTGTCTCTCTGCTCTCGGATATGGAATGTGCAGGACGGTTTCTACCTGCCAGGTCCACGTCTCTCTCGAGGATTGCAGAGCTCTCTCGGTTGCATCGAGTCGATTTTTCTTCCGCGAAAATCGAGGAGTATCATAGCTCTTCGCTCATTGCAAACTAAAAGAAAAAATTGCGGGGAAGACAAATATTAAAATCAGTTTTCCTCGCTTGATGTCAAGTTTACTTTTAGATTTTAATTCGAGTCTCATTAGTAACATCCATAACATCGAGAAGAAGCGGCGATAAGGATGGTGACCGATCGTCCCCCGGGGCAAATAAAGTCGACTCAAAATTGATCGAAGCGGAAGCACGCAAGCGACACACCCTGCGTCTCGACGTATTTACGCATCCCGAGATCCGCGCGCTTTGTGTCCTTCGGTCGGCGCCACCCCTAATGATACTGCGTAGAAATGTCGATAGCTATCTCGGGGACATAGATTACAATTATCTTCCGAATGCCACCTCCGTGGCATATGGCGCGAGATAGAAAAAAAAAAAAAAAGAGTAATACAAATTCGAAGCCCGCGTAAAGTCGATCCCGTGAAGAAAGGAGCGTTGTTTTCGCCCGACGAGAGGCAAACCCCTCGTCGACGCGAGGATTCGGGGTGGATGAAGATCGTTGGGTACTGGGTACGCGTCGGGCGTTGGTAAGGCACCCGCGACGCGTAGCGAAGCGACGGGGGCCGCACAAGGGGGGAAGAGCGTCGCGGCGCGCGCGAGCGAGAAAGACTATCCGATTCGGAGGGACGGAGAGACGAGAGCGATGTAAAATCGGGGCTCGGCCGAAGGGGGGAAAAAGATGGAAAATCCGAGGGGCGAGAGCGAGTGAGAGAGAAAGAGACAGAGAGGGAAAAGAGGAGGGGGTTAGAGAGACGACGACGACGACGACGACGCTCTCCCCGTGGCACGCTACACGTGCGCGCGTGTGCGTGAAATGCGTGCGCGGGGGGTTTTGAGAGGCCGACGGCACACCACGACGATGATGACGACGGCGACGACGACGGCGACGGCGGCAGCGGCGGCGGCGGCAATGCCGACGATGTACACGACTACTACTACGACGCCGCGTGGGGGTTGCACGAAGACCCCCTGGTGGGGTTCTGGCCGCCGACCCTACAGTCCCCCGCTGGAAATGATATCAGTCGCAACTCGGTCGAGGGAGCCCCAGCACGCGTCGCGTCACGCCGTCGGTCGCGCCGTGCCCCTCGCAGAGCAGTAGTTTTCTCCTATCCCGCGATTAACACGCGAATAGTAACCCGCCCCTCCAAAAGCGAGTGTGTACACGTACATCGCGCCCGTCGCCGCCCGAGGAAATCGCCAGAGAAACCACCCAGCCGTGCGCCGCCGGAGGCTCCGACACGCGAGGCCTACACGTCGGGGAGAAAGGGGGTAGATCCCCCGCGACACCGTCGTCCGCCCTGAAATTGGAGCTTTTCTCGTCGGAGGTCGCAGATCGCACTGATCGCAGGTACCCGCGAGGTGACCGTCGCTACGACGGTGTTTCTTGCGCGCGTTCTTCCTCTATAGCGAGACCGAGAGGAAATCGCGCGACGTGGAGCAGGGACGCGGGACGGAGCGAGAGAGAGAAAGAGAGAGGTAAGAGCTGCTGCTCTTTATCTGTCTCTCTCTCTCTCTCTCTCTCGCTCCCCTGGTCGCGTGTCCCTCCACCGCCTCTGCCGCCGGAGCGCGCGTTCCGGAGGCGCGACGTCGACGTCGAGGCGCGGATATTAATAGAGCTCGGGGGGAGAGAGAGATAGGCAGAAAGAGAGAGAGAAGCACCGGGGCACCGGCGCGACTCCCGACGTCTTTCGCGCGCCGTTGGTGATTTCGCGTTTGGACGCGCGAGAGACTCGCGCATTCCTGGGACAGGGCGATCACGTGCGAGCCTCGTCGCCGCTTTTTTCGCCTCCTCCTTCCCTCCTTTCCCCGTCCCCGTCGTCGCGCGGACCCGCGCGTATACGTAAGCCGCACGTGAGTGACGCGCTACCACAGCGCTTCGCTTCGCGGCCAAAGCGCGTTTTCCCTCGTTGTTCTGCCCGCGTCGCACCTCGACCCGTTTATTTCCTCCCGATCAATCGGCCGATCGTTCCCCGGATTGGGCCGCCGTTACACGCGAGCCCGACGGAAGAACGTCGCCCGTGACGTTCAAGGCCTCTTCGAATCTCTTATCCGTTTTACATTTTCTCCTAACGACGCGTATATCTTATCTCGACGGAATCAGCGAAATGGAATTGTCGGAAGCGCCAGCTTGTTAATTCCGGATTTTTTTAGGCTTTCTTCATTGAAAGAAAGAGAAGAAGGACGCTTCAAAGCTTTTTGTAGCGTCACGTTGACCGTAGCCTTAGACGTCGTTAAGCTCGGAATAAACGTCCTTAGATCCTTAAAATCACGCGGAAGTTCGCGTCGGTTTCGCATATTCGCGAGGCTCTTCCGGTCGCGTTATATTGCCCGCGACGTGGTAAAGATGGAGGGAAAAAAGGGCGCGTTTGGCCCATTCCCGGCCACGGGGGGAACGGGAATCCCTTGGAAATGCGTGGGGGGGTCCACCAACAAAATTATGGATCGAGGCAACGCGAGGGTTCACGTTCTGCGCATGACTATTCGTCGTTGTTAGCCTAGTCGTTACACACGTATACACGCACACGCGACACGCACGCATACACGCGGCTGAGAACGCGCGCGAGAAAGAACCGCCTCCTCTCTTGGAGAACCCTCTCCTTCCGAGATCTCTTCTTCGCGCGCGCGACATACCCCCCCGGTCGCGAGTTTACCAACAACGATGCTCGAGGCTCGACGTCCGTCCGCCTCGTAAATTCGCGGCGCGAATACAATAAGTAGAGAGCGATCCCCGTGTAGAACGCGTTCGTATGAAAGATTAAGAAACGAACTCGAATCGATTTCAGTTCGGACGGAGAACAACAACCGAGAGAGAGAATATTTCGCTGTAAGAGGTGAGGGGGCACGCGAAAACGGGTCTCCCAATCGTTGTGTTTGACGAGCGATCACGCGGCCGATTATATGGGACGCGCGGTGACACATCGGCGAATATCACCGCGCGCGGGATCGGAATAATTGTGCGGAACGTGCCGATTAAAAGCGCGTCTGGCCGCGCCGAGTAGCGTCACCCCCCCGCTGCCCCGCCGCGCGGCTGCCCATGACGAGATTATTTCACTTATGACGCAACGATCGCGGATATATCGTGAAGAGCGTTATTAGCATTCCGCGCGCGCGTGATTAATAACTGTCTGCATAGTCCGGAATATTTCCTGTTACGGAGTTACACTCGATCGGAAACCGCTTCTCAGGGAATATCTCGACGCGTTCTCTAAATTCCTCGGTTCGCGCATCCTCTGCGTCTCGCGCGTCCTGCCAAACTAAGATGATTGCAGTCCACGCGGGCGATTCGTTGTTATGCAAAATATAAGGCCTATTCGTTTTAGCTGAATTTCTTGCACGGTTCTCTCCAACGTGAAAAGAAAAAGAGGAAAGATGGACCGTGCAAGAAGTTCAGCTGAAACGAACATGCCTATAACGTTAAAATACAACGTGGGGCGGTATAAACAAACGTGAAGATATACAACTGTTCTAAATATTAAAAAGAAAAGACAATGCAGATATATCGCGAGATATGTTTAATTGAGAATTCGAGAACACGCGGTTCGTGCAGCTCTGACAGTTTTTCAGAATATATTTCCCGGTACACGCGACGCACATATGCGTGCCTTTAATTACTAATTTACATAACCACTTGTTTAACGTACTTGATTAGAAAAGAGAGAAAAGCACATTTTACATACGAAAAACATGCTCTTTTGCGTGTAAAAGTTAGTTGATCCTACCGCGGCGTTGTGAATTAAAATACAAAATCTTTGTATTTCAGATCGATAATACTCGATAAAAGCATGGGCGAGAAGACGTTCAACCTGACGTGGAACAATCACCTGGCGAATCTGTCGGGTTTGTTCGAGGCTCTTTACAAGAGCGGTTCCTTGACGGACGCGACTTTGGCTTGCCAGGGTGGCATGTTGAGGGCCCATAGATTGGTGCTGGCAGCGTGTAGTCCTTACTTCGAAAGGGTCTTTAAGGAACATTACGGAGAGCAACCCATTCTCATTTTAAAAGGTATATATGGCACATTGACGTTTCGACAAAACACTCATGACGTTTTAAACGATATCTGAAGAAAGAAACTTTCAAGAACTTTTGTTTATTTGTTACACAAAATGTTTCATCTGATAGAGAAAGAAAGAAGTGTTACAAGCTATTTTTTACACAGCTGTTCAAGATAGCGACAAAATCTTTTTCTTGATTTTTATGAGAGCTTGCGCTCCAGCGGACATAAAGAGGAAAAATCCCATTTAAAAAAAAAACATGTGGTCTTCTTTGCAGGCTTGCCTGTTACTTCTTTCTCTCCCTTTGAGGGACTCGGTATACATCGCGTGAAAATAAAAATTGAAAGAAAAGATTTTGTCCCCATCTTTTTTTTGAAGAAAATTATTTTGTAACACTTTCGCGTGAAGGGATTAAAATGCATCTGATGTACATTTTTATCGCTCAGGTGTCGCTGTCGAGGAAATGGAATGCTTGTTGGACTTCATGTACAGAGGATCCATCGATGTAGCGGAGGAACACCTTCCTTCGTTGATAAAAACTGCCACCGATTTGGAGATACGCGGTCTCTCCGGGGAGCAGAAAACCCAGGAGAGCAACCGCAACCTCTACACCAGGGTCGAAACGCGGATGCAGCGATGCCATATCGAAACCAGAGTGCACACCACCGAGTACATCAAGGAGCCGTCGGTGATCCCTTTCCTGCCGAAGCACTCGACCGTCGATTCGATGGAGGACCACATTAAAGTGGAGGATATCGAAGTGGAGGACGACCCGATGGTGATCGACGGGCACGAGGACAGCTTCGACGAGCTTCCGCGATCCACGGAAACGCAAATTGTAAGCTCGGGGGATATGCGCTTCAGCTTATTTTGAAAGATATTATCTGAGGATCGTTCCAATTATTTAGAATGTCTTCCTAATATATATTTATTGTAATAATTTTCAGAGGCGTATACCACCTCCGATGTACAAGCGGGAGACCAGATTCAAAGGGCAGAAGAGAGTATCCGTGGGCCGCGTGACACGAAACAACGACCCATTGGAATCGAGATCGAAAGACTCCTCGCGAGAATCGAGCTGCGAGGATTCCTCGAGGATCGTCAAGTGTGAGCCTAATCTTAACGACGAATCCGCGACGGATGTCGCGGTATCGAGCGTACATCAGGTAAACGAGCTTATCTACCGGAAGGAAGTTTGCTAACGAAGCGTATTCTACGCGGTTGTAATCAATTTCGAAGCAATAACCGCTTTACCGTAACAGCAAACTACTTTACTCGAGACAGATTAGTTTTTTTTGCAATATAAAGAAATATAATTATATAGTAAGATTTTTTTATTTTATCAACAAAACAGATTGTGCTGTAATAACT